TTTGGCTTCTCTGTGCTCCAGTGCAATTTTCAGAGTCTCTTCTGACATCCATTTTGGTCTTTTCTTCCTCTTCTGTCTTTGCAATGACCATTTGCACTCTTCCTGGATGATATTATATGGGTGAAAATCTAATCTCCAGTCGTATGCAAGGAGCCCCCATAGCATAACATGTAATGTGCTGGGCTGTGTAAAAGGCTGGTGTTTCAAACCTATCAGCTGCCATGAGGGTGAAATATAGGAAATCTTGTCCTAAAAAAAAATTAAAACCTTGGTCATCCAATGGAGGGTCACAATGTGAAGAGATTTGTAGGCATTACGGTTTTGCTTGTTAAGTCTATTACACAAAACCACTGTTATTCTGGCATTTGAGTGTTTTAGTAACATTTTATTTCATTCTTTCCAAGACACACCGAAATCAGTAATTGTTTGTCTTATTGAGGCTATGACTTCTTAACAAATATTGTCCCATAGGAGCCCAGGATCTTAAATGTGTTATTGTTGGCTGTTGTAGATAGTTTTGTATAAAGGGTCCAACTCATAATAGCTTATGTACAACAGAATCACACCCTGCCTGTGGAACCCTCATAATCTGCTTAAACTCATTGTTGTACTCACTGTCCCACTCCATTTCAATGAAGGTCAACTTTATTATAGACAATCATTCTCACTGTAGATGTCCCCAAAACTCAGCACTGTAAGACACTTATGTGCCCATATCTTGTCTCATTGGACCTCTGGGTAAATTTCACATTATTTTCAGTGGACCAAAACACCATATGCCCATTTATAAAGCTCTGTTATACTGAAAGTGATTCAAGATTGGTTAAGCTTTATCAGAATAAACAAAAGAGAAAGCAGACATACCACTATGACCACAGGTCTGTGAGCACTGAGTCCATGCTGTCCACCCCGAGAGCTGACAGTTGACCACACACTCCACCAGGCAGTTAACACTCATTCTCTGAGGCTTCTCCAAATTGCGCTGCAAAGGGGAGGGGGGGAAGTGATGTTGCTAGAAAAGAGATGCTTGTTGATATTTTTTAATTGGCATGTTATTAAATAAAAGGCTAAGATCAACTAACAACAGAATAAAACTTTCATATATATCTAACACAAACTATTTTAGAAAGTGGCTATTATAAAAGTTGGTAGCTTATATTCTTCTCAGTGTTCCTTTAGTAAAGAGATGGCAAACAACCTGGCAGGAAGGGTACTTCTTCAAACAGATTCTTATGGCAAGGTGGAAATTTCATGAGTTGCTGGGAGTATGACCAAGCATAAACTGAACATTTTTAAAGCAAGCATGGCATGTGATTGTGGTAGTCAATAGTCTACACTTTGAGAAATATTGGAGAGAAGAACAGAAGTCCAGGAACAAAATAAAGTAGGCAACACACACAAACAAATAAAACCACAAAAGAAACAAAACACCCAGCTATTTAGCAACACACGGACATGAACAGCATGTAGTCTGATGAGAGACACTGGCATTCAAATGCAGGAAGGAAAAATGACAATTGGAACAGAATTATCACACACAGAACAGGTTCCAAACAAATCTGTTCAGCGAGGGGCAGCCACACTTCACAATGACACATTTTTTGACAAATAAACAAGCCCTAAACAAGGCTATATACCCCGCTCTCTCTCACTCTCTCTTCAACAAGGTTTGTTAAAGTTGTCAATGATTCCTTCTTTTAGGAATGGGGAGAAGAAAAGACTACCCTTCAGTCTGAGAAAATAATCTTTCTAAATTTTGTCCTCACAAAATATATTTTACTTGAGTAGTGAAGAGGCCTTGGTGGCACAGTTGCTAAACACTCAGAAACTAACAGGAAGGTTGGCAGTTAAAAATCCCCAGCTTCTCCAGGAAATAGAAATTAGGCTGCCTGGTTCTGTGAAGACTCATAACCTTAGAAACCTATTGGGCTGTTCTACTCAGTCCTACAGGGTTGCTGTGAGCTAGACTGCATTCAATTGTACTCATTTATGCTCTGGAGTTTAGAATATGAACTGATTTGTGCAACACTTTGCCCTTACTCCACATAGTAAAAATTTACAAGCCATATTTTTGTTTATGAAATCCTAAACTTTAGAATAGACTTGCCATTGAGTTTCTTGGATTCTGAGGAAACAATAAGTCATGTGACCAAAAATTTCTCCCATTACTCAGCCAGAAAGAAACAGGGAGGAAGGCTTAGTGTTAAATCTGGGCACTTTGCACTTTTGGACAGGTTAGTAGTACAGAGAGTTCTCAAAACAAAACAAAAAAAAGTTAGCTTAAAAGTGAAATAAGAATAAAATAAAATCAACACTATTTTGTGTCAGCAACTTCTTAAGCACTCCACAACAAGGGTGTCACCAAAATGAATATCAAGCCCACTGCTATCTGTCCAGTCAGTTCCCAATCCTGGAGACCCTCTAGCCGGTTTCCCAGGCTGCACATCTTTATGGGAGGAGACTGCAAATATTCCTCCCATGGGTGAATTTGAACCACCAAACTTTACATTAGTGATCCAACATGCAATGCACTACACCACCAGGGCCTCCTAACTAACAATGAGTGATTAAGATAAACGATTGCCACTGAGTGGGTTCCAGCTTATAGCTGACCCTCCGCTGGGTTTCTGAGGCTGTGACTCACATGGGTGGAGATTGCCCATCCTTCTCCTGTAGAAATGGGGGATATGAATAGCCAGTGAGTCACGGCTTTGGGGTTAGCAACACAACTCCCCAATGCCTAGACCCCCAAGCAATATCTACACAATGCTGAAATTAAATTAGTGTGTGGCTTCTTGAAAAGAAATCAAAACAAAATTGCCATGAAACTCATGGTCCACTAAAGCATAGGGATATTCTGGTTTAATTATTTGGGACTTGTTTAAACTGACATCCTTTAAGTACTTGCTCCTCAAACTAAGACCCACTGCTGTGCAGTTGATTCTGATTCAAAGAAACCCTACAAAATGGAATAGTAATGCTTCCTAGAATTTCTAAGGCTATATATTTTTAAGCAAACAGATTGCCACATCTTTCTATTGGACAGTAGGAGATGTGGACAGTGTTTCAAAATGGCAGTCTTTTGGTTGGTGGTGGCCGAATCCTTTTAACCCCTGCCCAACTAGGCCTTCTCATTGTATCACCATGCTTCTTAAATACTTGCTCCAAACCAAGCCCTCTGGCACTGAGTTCATTCCAGTCATACTGACCCCCACAGGATTTTGACTTTACAGGAAGAGGCTGCCCAGATGACAGGTGGATCCAAACTGCTGATTAGCAGCCTGGCATTTTGCTAGTTCACCAGAAGGCATCCTTTAAATACTTGTCACACACATGCTATTTAGAACGCCAAGAAAAGGGCTTCCTATTCCACCAGCACTGCAGTTGCTGAGCTGATTATGACTATTGATGACTGTGTATCAGAGAAGTACAGGCTTCGAGAGAGCTTTCAAAGGCTGACTTTTCCATAACAGATCATCAGGCCTTTCTTTTAAGCCATTTCCACGTGAGTTCCAACTACGGACTTGTGAATTATCAGTGAAACACCTTACTTACATGCACTATTCTTGGCATCTGCCTTCCAATTAGTAAATAATTGACACTGCATTTAAAAGAAAAAATATGATTGCATGTTGTTGTTGTTGAATACTGTCAAGTCAGAGAATACCCATAGCTGACCCTCCAGCAAATTTTTAGAGGCAGTTTAATCACACAGAAGGAGATTGGCTACATTTCTCTTGGAAAGATGCCCATTTGTTTTTTTCAGCAGAACAACTGGTGGATTTGAATCACGTCCATTTGGGATTGCAGTGCAGCTTCTTACCACTAGGACACACACACACACACACAACACACACACACACACACACACACACACACATACCCATATATACCAAATACAGAATTTTCCATCTATTTAGAGTTGTATATTTCTCCTTGCCTCATTTATCTCCCCTTAATTAGACTACTTCTTGTTAGCAGATTCAATGAAATAGGATGGCACAACAGCTCCCTACCACCTAGTAGACCACATGTGATGTCTGAATTCCACACAATTTCATACTGCCTGGTCACAGAGTGGTTGGTCCTGTGATCTGTGGCTGCATGATTGATTTAGATGACACATGAAAAAGCAGGGGGGAAAAGTAAGTCAGAACAGATGTTTTAGTAAATCTTACTGCAGTTGGCCATCTTTATTACTGTATTTTGACAAATAAGACACAAACATAATTAACACACACACACACACACAAAAAAAAAATCCAAAACAAAAAACAAAAATATCCCCAAAACAAAACAAAAAGCATGCCTGACATGCTCAGGGAACAAAAGGACAGTTTGCAAAAAATATGTAAAATGCATGTTGTCTGCATAAACATGTGATACTATTAAATCTACCCCCAAAGTGCTTTTCCTTTATATATTAGGAAGTAAATGCTTACCTATTTAAAATAAGTTTGAATATAGTTTTTCTTCAGTACAACAAATCACAGGAGAAATGGGCACTACAGTTACAAAAATTTAGACTCTACTAATTTAAAACTTTATGGACATGCTTTTTAAAGTAGACTGAGAAGAATACAACTGTGCTATTTATCTAAAATTTTTCTGAGCAAATTAGTGGAGTAGTCTAATAGCAAGAGGCAGTATTTACCATACATGCAAAGGACAGTCGTCCTCATAAAAACACATGAATCATTTGCCCATACTAAGACCCATTTTTAATAGTAAAGTTGTCCATTCTTAAGGGTTTGTTACAATTTTAATTAGGTAAGGATGTGAAAGTTTTTAAAAAAGTATATTGTTTTAATAAACTTATACTTCCCAGTGCAAAATAACCTCTCCTCCAGTACGTTCAAACTTAAGATTCTTAACTTTAATTGAGAGCAGTAGGTCTTAATTTAGTTGATCCTCAAACACAGTCATTGTCACCTATGTCAACCAAACACTGTGCTAAGCATTGTGTGCTAAATGGAAACATGAACCCCTACCTGCTCGCACTGGTCCATGGCCACTGGCTTGTTGTCACTGCGCACACAGCTCAGAAGGCGGGTCCTGATGCCTTGTCCACAGGTGGCATTTTCATTCAGCTGGCACGTGCTCCACTCTACAGGCATATGATCACCCAAACTGAATTTCAAAACACTGATCATGTGAGCAAAATACAACACACCGGTGGTTATCTGCATTGCTGAAGAAGGACAATGTGCACTAACCCAAACTGCTTCCAGATGGGTCTGCAAAAGCATACCGTCACTGTTCGGTCACAATAACAATAATAACGATAGAATAGTTAAAATGAGTACTGAAGGTGAAGAATAAAACAAAAAACCAAACGAGTCTGATAAAAGCCATTTCAGAATTGGCTTCTGAAAGAAAACACTAAACAACACAGCAGTGAAAAACAATTTGGAATCAACAGTTTGGTAGGGAAATAAACTAGAAAGGAAAGAGTGCAGAAGTGGTGGCTGTCTAAGAATTAATGCAACTATCTCAGCCATTTGGTATATTTAGCACCGTAAAGTCCAGAAAAACATCCAGAGTTTAAGGGGGAAGACACACAGAACTTGCTGATGATTCATTATCAAGTGATAGAAACCTTCCACTGGATTTAATAGCTGTAAGTCTTGGATCCACTTCCTTAACAACATGCCTATGGAAACTCTATGAACTTTGAGAAACAACGATAGTTACAAAAAGGGCTTTTGTTCACAGGGTTGCTATGAGTCATGCTCGACTTGATGGCAATCATCAGCAGAAACAACAAGTCATGGAAGAGGAAACTGCCCATTTCCCCTCCTTGGAACAGAAGTCAGAATCAACTCATAGCTGAACCTCCAGAGGGTCTTAGGAGGCTATAAAGCACACAGAAAGAGAGTATCTTTCTTTCTCATACAGAGCTTCTGGTGGATTCAAACCACTGCAGAGATGCACAAATTTGAGTTAGCAGTGCAACTCCTGATACCATCACAGCTCTCCATGAACTGTTAAAGAAACTGTAATTCCATTATGAAAGGAGGTTTTACATATTTGACTAGTTGAATTAAAAACCGATTGGTGAGATTAAGTTATATTGTTGTTGTTAAATGCCATCGGGGTGACTACAACTCATAGCAGCCCTATGAAAAATATCTGTGATTCCTGTCCTATCCTGAGCCAATGTAACCATCTCTAACATACCGGCCCCCATTGTCACAGTCACTGGGTCAATCTTTCTCATCCAGGGTCTTCCTCTCTTGCACTGACCCCCTCCACCTTTCCAAGCATGATGTCTTTCTCCAAGAACTGGTCTTTCCTGATAAACATGCTCAGTATGTCAGATGGAGTTTCAAAATCCTTGCCTCCAAGGATCAAGCTAGTTTTACCCTCTCTAAGACAGATCTGTTTGTTCTGTTGGTAGCCCATGGTATGTTCAATACTCTTCTCCAGCACCACAACTCAAAGGCACTGATTTTTCTTTTGACATCCTTAGTCATTGTCAAGCTCTCAGATGCACAGCAAGCCATCGGGAAATCCATGGCCGGGACATGGTCGGGATCAGGTCCAACTTAGTCTCTAGACTGACATTGCTTCTCTTTAGCACTCTTGAAAATTCCCTGACAGTAAACTTTCCTAAAGCAATTTGTCTTTGGATTTCCAGACAGCTGATGTCAAGAGTGCTGATTATGGATTGAAGCAAGATGAAACTATTAATAACCTCAATCTCTTCTCCACCTATCATAGTGCTGCCAATTGACCCAATGGTAAGAATCTTTGTTTTCTTGATGTTGAGCTTCAGTCCATATTGAAGATTGTAGTTCTTAATTTGTTTCTTAAAAATGGGGGGAAAAAATCTAAACCCCCAAACCCGTAACTCTTACTGTTGTATGGCTGGTAGAAGAGTCGGCTGTGGCTTTCCTAGTCCATTGCTTTGACTTTGGTCACATGATTGGGTGGAACTATGCTAATGATGTGAATGAGGTGAATAGTACCTTTTGGTTGGGAGCACAGCAAACAAGATGTAGCATATTAATTATGGGGTTACTTAATACTGCCATTCCATCAGACTTAGGCTGAGCAGGTTTAGAGGAAAAATAGGAGAATCTCACCAACAGCAAGAAAAAAGAAATCAGTCCAATGAGCATCTATTTAGGCAAGAGATTCCTGCCTCAAAAAGACTGGATTCTAGAAGGGCAATTATAACAACAGAAACAGTAATAGTAGAGAAACAGAAATCAATATAAGGCAGAGCATATCCAGGACTCCCCATGGGAGTCCAGGGTCATGGGCCTTTGCCTAAACTTTCTGGAAGACTAGGGGGTGTAGGATGATGTCATAATTTGTAAGAATGAGAACTTTGTAATGATGACTTAAAATTGTGAGGTTGAAGTTAAAAGGGCCTGCAAGCTCATCTAACTGAACAATTGTATCCTGTTTCTAATTTAAATGTAGCCTCTTAAATTCCCTAATAAACGTCATAATTATGAGTTCTGTGTGGCCATTGCAACAACTCCAGGAGGGATGACGGCTGGTGTTAGAATTAGTAGTTAAGTGTGGGGAATGAGGGAGAATGTCTGACATCATGAGAATTGATTTTGTGCCATGAATGCTATAGATGAGGACTCTTCCCCTTGCAGAGTTATAGAGGTCCGATATAGCCACTTGCAAAGTAAAATCCAACAGTATAGTATGAATGTTGTTGTTTTTATGAACCATTGAGTAAAAATGAACTTATAAAGGAATCTCCAGTTATTTTTCACAGGTTGTAAATCACGTAGAAGGAGATTATTATAATCACCCTTTGAAGTATTTGGTGGATTCAAATCATGAACCTTTGGACTAGCAGCATAATTCCTTACCACTAGGCCACCAGAACTACCTATATTTAATAAGATCAGTCCTTAAATAATATATTCTCCTAGTAAAGTAAATGTCAAGTTATTTATGGAATATTTCAATTAAAACCAAGGATCTGAGAACTTGTTATCTAAAGTAAAAGGACAGATTTTCCTGGTCATCAGACATTCCCATACAATTCACCATGTTGTATTTTACATGAGAAGTACCAGCCAGGTCTACATGACAGTAAGAGGGCTTTGTCTTTTTCATAAAAGTCTTGTTTTGAGTCTGGAGGAAAGTGGAGGTTTGGTGGTCAGTTTCGAATTTCATGCAAGAGCCTTGATACCACATTGTGACATTTGTGTGTATCTGCTGCTACAAGGTAAAAAGACAAATACAAGGAACTAAAGTCTTTTGAACACAGTGGTGCCCAGATAAGTTGAGGCACTTATTAACAAGGATGGTGTTTAGAAATAGTTTCTGTCCAGTCAGGATCAATGTTTTTCATTTTTTATGAAATCTGCAGAACAAGAGCAAGACAAGCTTATATTCCTAAAAGTAAAAAGTCCTAGAAAGATCTAAATTGTTTATGACATTATGATAGCATACTTCCTAAACAGTCAAGTTATTCTATGCTTTTTACTTCTCCTGTTGGTTTAGTTTGTCATGGTTTATTTGTAACATTATTATTATTATTATTATTATTATTCAGGAATAACAATTATTATTATTCAGGAACTTTACTAAGTCTTTCTAAGCTTGTTTTACTTCAGAGAGTCCATGTGGTGTTACTGGAAGTGGCATGCCAAGAGTGGACTTGCCCATCTCTGAAGAGGCCATCTATGAAAGCCAAGTCATTGGTCTTTCACAAAACACAGACTCTACTCTTGGTTTCTAACGTGGAGACTGGGAACACACACAAACAGACACACACACACACACACACACACACACACACACACACACACACACGCAGGTGCCCATATACATGCACACATTCCCATTTGCAGAGGCTAAAGAAGCGACATGGCCACAGAGGCCATCTACCTGTGAGATTGTACCGGAACTGGAAGCAGTCACGCACACACACACAGAGACACACAGAGACACACACACACACACACACACACACACACACACACACACACGCAGGTGCCCATATACATGCACACATTCCCATTTGCAGAGGCTAAAGAAGCGACATGGCCACAGAGGCCATCTACCTGTGAGATTGTACCGGAACTGGAAGCAATTTTCATTAAGGAGGCAGGGCCGCACTTGTGAGTCTTCAGGGCAGGTCCTTGAGCTCATTGAAGGTCTCAGCAGATGGCGGGTCCTTCTCTGCACGGTGTGGGGGTCGCATGACTATCAGCATCAAAGGGCAAGCAGAGTTAGTAAAGATCTGTATACATGACAAATGCATGTAATTATTTGTATAGCTGCAAGCACATCCATAATAATGATTGAGAGTGTTAAATACAGTATTGTTTTTGTTAGGTGTCATTGAGTGACTCCGACTCATAGCAACCCTATGAACAGCAGTTCTGACCCTAATCCTAACCCTAATCCCATCCTCACCGTCTCTGATATGCTCCAGCCCACTGTTAGTCATTGTATCAGTCCAGTCCATTTTGTTGAGGAATTTTTCCTACCTGGTAACTCGTTCTCATGTTATGTTACTTCTGTATAGTCATGTACAAGAGAACTATTTTCACCATTAAAACTCACTCTGCAATCTCAAATAGTTTTAAACATTGTAATAGACTGAGATACTTTAAATGCTTCACATACATTTTAAAAAAGAGAAAACACTTCCCCTGTGATGTCAATGGAAATAAAAACACAGAACATTTTGAGGAGAAAATTGTTTTAGAAAACCCTGAACAGACAAGCATAGAGGGAGATTTTATAAAATCAAGATTGTCAATATATAAGAATATTTCCTCTCGTCTACGAAGCCCTCTGAATTCCAAGGGTGAGTCACTCTGTGTGTTGCCCTTTATGTAAAATCACTGTATTAAAATGAACAAGACAGAGGTCCAAATATCACTTTACTCAAGGATCCACACATGCTCTTTTCTTGTACCCTTTGCTCTTTGGATATGTTGAGTCAGGTAAACTTGTTAGCAAATTTTATCCACCAGCCCCACTAGAATATGATGTCTCTCCTTTTAGAATAATCGTTTTACCTATAATACTTTTTATTATTTTATATTGTTTTGCTTAAAAAGTTCATATACATTGTGTTTTATGTGTCTTCATTCATATTGTCTTCTTTTTTAAAGTTTGCTTTTTATCATTATTATTAATTTTAATGAAAATGTACAGAGACTTTGGATTTCCATTCATTCATTGTTGCACTTTTCTCCCTGCTCCGCCCCCCCCACCCCCCAGTCACTCTTCTCTTTAAAAAGTAAAAGGAAAATTCTTTCATTGTTATACAATCCCTCCCCCAAGGTCTACTCCACCATGCAGCCTTCCTTCTGGACTCCCCTCATGACAATAAAACCTAATCACCTACTGCACTGAAACAGATGAGGGACAAAACTGTTTAAATAGAAGAATCTCTTTTGAACTGTTCTCTAAAATTGGTCTTTTTCTTCTTTAGTCTACTATTGGGGATTTAGTTCTTCCACAGTTCTCATCTTAGTAACTCCAAATGCCTTTCTTTCTTTTTGGTTCCCCTTTCTCTCATGCTCATGAATTTTTCTCAAAGGAGAAATGGGATTCCAGACATATGTAAATACACGTATGATTATTTACCACAACTGTCCTTGCGCTGTCATCTTCAGTTTCATTTTCATTCTGTTACCTGCCTATCTTTACAGACTTTTTTCAAGAATGATGGCCCATAACTTCTTATATACATGACATTCCCTGAAAATGTTGGTGTACTTAGGGGTTGTTCAGTGAATACCACGGAATAGAGTCACATCACCAACATTCCAGACCTAAAATTCTAAACAGGCACAGGCAATGGACAGCTGCCAATGATAATGTCGAAAACACCCCTTCTGTTTCAGATGTTTTACTGATTTTTAGATGTCTTTTTCCTTCTAAGAAATTTTAGCAAGACATAACTGGTACACTGAATCTAAGCTACTGATGAATGAAAGGTGGTAGAATTGCACTAAAATAAGCAGAATTTTTTTTCACTTTCCCCTCTAATTTGAAAAAACTGCAGCTGGTTTAAATACATTTATTATCCATGTGACTTCATACTTGGATATCCTGTCAATACTTGTAAAGTAATTTTGCATTTAAAATGTATTGAATTGTCTCTAGATAATCAAGAAGGGCTACTGAAATCAGGCAATTATTCTTAATTATCTGCAGATGAATCCCATGTTAAATGCTTACCAATAATTTATTACAATCCCAGCAATTAATGATTGCTTTTCTAATGAGCAGGAATAAGGACTTAAATGATTTGCCAATAAAGGAAAATGATGATATCTTAGTAGATATTCTTGGTTACTTCTCTACTGCATTTCCACCTAAAAATGAATTCATGTTGGTACTCAATGCATATGCATAAGAAATTATGTGCCTTCTTTGTCAAAGCCATCAAATAAAGTCAGAGAAAAATGCCCTTTCTCTATACCCCAACACATGAATAGATTGAATAATTCTGAAACATTGATGAGAGATTCTCTTATTCACTCTATATGTTATTTCCTCATCTAAAGGTGGCTGGCTGAATTTGGGAAGTGTTAAGCTTTACCTCTATCATATCCCATAGTCGGTAACTAGGAGTCTCCAAGTGGCAAATGATACATACATTGGTTATTAACTGAAAGGCTGGAGTTTTGAGTACACTGATATGTTCAGAAGTGAGCCTTGGATTTCTACCTTTGAGGAAACAGCTTTTGGAAACCGTGTGATACACAGTTCCTCTCTGTTACATGAGACTCCATGAGCAGAATCAACTTGAGGGAAATTGACTTAGGGTCTCTAATTCTGCTTGGAATAGTGTTAAAATATCCTCTTAAACCTAAAGCAGTGTTCATACTATGTTAACTTTGACAATCACTGAAATGAAGATACTGAAAAGCAGCAGCACAATTCTGTACTTTTTTATCTAAAATTAGAAAAAAAGGAGAACCCTAGGTGACTGAAATGAATGAGTAGTAGCTAGATGATTTTACTATCCTCATAGGAAAACCTATACGTAGATCAGGAAGCAACTGTCTAAACAGATGAGGGGGGGGCATTGCACAGTTTAAAATTAGGAAAGGTGTATGTTAGGGCTGTATCCTTTCTCCATGCCTATTCTTTCTGTATGCTGAGCAAATCATTCAAGAAGCTAGACTTTATGAGGAAAAATGTGCCACAGAATTTGAGAAAGGCTCATCAACAACCTGTGTTGTTGTAGATGACACAACCTTGTTTACTGAAAATGAAGAGGACCTGAGATTCTTACTGCAGAGGATCTAAGACTACAACCTCCAATATGGATTATATTTCAACATCAAGAAAGCAATTCTTAACCACTCGGCTAATAGGCAATATCATGATAGATGAAGGAAACACTGAAGTGTTTAAAGCTTTAATATTAGTGGATCCACAATCAATATCCTCAGCAAAAATTTTAAGAAATCAAAAGACATGTGGCATTAGTGAAATCTATTGTCAAAGACCTCTCCAAGGTGCTGAGAAGCAGCAATGTCAGTTTGAAGACTAAGGTGTACCTGATTCAAGCCATGGCCTTTTAAGTCACTTGCTATGCATGTGAGACACTACTAAGGATGACAGAAGAATCAGTGCATTCAAGTTGTAGTGTTGGAGTCCATGGCCACACAAAAGGACAAATATGTCTTGGAGAATGAGCAGCCAGGGTGCAGGCAAGGTTGGTGAAACTTCATCTCACATACTTTGGGGATGTTGCCAGGAGGAGTCAGTCATTGGAAAAGGACATCATGCTTGGAAGGGTGGTGTGTCAGTGTAAGAGACGATGACACTCAATTAGATAGAGAGACACAGTGGCTATAGCAATGGTCTCAAATGGATCAGTGATGATTAGGATGGCACAGGATAGGACAGGGTTCCAGTCTGCTGTTTATAGGACTAAGAGTTGTGGTCGATTTGATGGTACTGTAGCAACAGCGGAGTTCTTGTGGCTAATGTTAAGGAACTACACTGCCAACCCAAAGAAATGTGGTTTGAATCCACCAGCTGCTCTGCAGGAGAAAGATGGGAAATCTCCTCTCCTGTATTTTGAAGCTTTGGAAAATCTGCTAGAGGTTTAGCTATGAATTGCTTAAAATTTGATAGCACACAACAATAAGGTAAAAACATAAATTTAGGCAAGAAACTACCTCAGGGAGAGATGGGTTGTTATTTCATTTTCTATTTTTAAAGTCCAGATAATGAATCATTAAAAAAGGAGGAGGTCAAGAAGAGGTCAAGAAGAAAGAAAAGACAAAGAAAGGTTTTTTGAAGATAATTTTGGTATTAAATCAAAAGTCCTTCAATATAAGCCTGATGCTTCCTTTTGTAGGGTGTTTATAATAAGCATAGTGTCAATTTCCTAAACGAACAAGTGAGTAAATGATGTGTAGACAACTAAAGTGCAATAAGTTCTGGACCATTTCATTATAATAATCATAAACCTAATATTTATTTGCTCAAAATTAAAAAGAAACATCCATTGCCATTAAGTCTGAACCAATTCATAGTTGACTCTCCAGCAGGTGTTTGGAGGCTATAAAATGCACAGAAGGAGATCATTCATTTCTCTTCCACAGAACCACTTGTAGATTTGAACTGTCAGAGAAGTGTAGTCATTGGGTTAATTCTTTACAGATTATACCAGCAGAGCTCCCTTGCTATGGAAGGAAATGGTCAATAAGAACCAGCTAGTCACCAGTAAGAACAGCAAAATTCAACAGAGCAGCAAACAATTGCTGCAGCAAAAAAATTCTGGCTAGGTTGTGGAGAAACTGGAACCCTTATTCACTGTTGGTGGGATTATAAAATGGTACAACCACTATGGAAGGCAGTGTGGCTCTTTCTCAAAAAGTTACAAATAGAAATACCATTTGACCCAGCAATTCCACTACTTGGAATATACTCTAAAGAAACAAGTACTGCCACCCTAGCAGATATATGCACACTCATGTTTATTGCGGCTTTGTTCACAATAACAAAGAGTTGGAAACAACCCAAGTGCCCATAAACAAATGGATAGAGAAGCTATGGTTTATTCACACAATGAAACACTATGCTGCATTGAAAAATGAGGAACTCTTGAAATATTAATCAAAATGGGTAACCCTGGAGGACATTATGCTGAGTGAAATATCTCAGTCACAAAAAGGACAAATACTGCATAGTGCCACCGTTGTAAAGTGGGACTGACATCA